GGTAACTCATAGTCTACTCATCGTCCTACAAACTCATAGTCTACATAATTTTATCACCAGAATTCCGGCTTCTGCTTACTGAATAATGGGTTTTCATGTTCCGAGCTTGTGCTCAGTTCGGTCTGTATACCTTTTTGTGACGACCCTTCTCTTTGTTATGAATCTTTCTTCTGCAAATCCTTTTGGGAACAAAACTGATCGATTGGCTTTGCTCAGATTTAAAGAATCCATATCTGCTGATCCACTCGGGTTCTTGACTCATGGAATGACTCCTTTCATTTCTGGAACTGGTATGGAGTTACTTGCAGCAGAAGGCATCAGAGAGTCGCAGCCTTGAACATACAAGGCTCTGACTTGCGAGGAACTATATCACCTCAAATTGGCAACCTCTCATTTCTTAGGTTTATCAACCTTCGAAACAACAGCTTCTCGGGAAAGATTCCACAGCAAATTGGTCATCTGTTCCGACTGCAGCATCTCAATCTTATTGACAACATTTTGGAGGGGGAAATTCCAGTCAACTTGACATACTGCTCTGAATTGAGCATCATAAGTTTGAGTTCAAACTGTCTCATGGGCAACGGAGCTTGGCTCGTTGACGAAGCTTTTGACACTTAATCTCGGTGCAAACAATCTGACAGGAGGCATCCCACCTTCCTTGGGAAATCTTTCATCAATCACACAACTTTCCTTGGCATATAACAACCTGGTGGGGAATGTTCCGGAGGAAATAGGCCAACTGAGAAGCTTATCTTTTTTAGCAATCTGACCAAATAATCTCTCCGGTATGATCCCTTCCTCCCTTTTTAACATCTCATCTATGAATACCTTATCACTTACGGATAATGAATTTGAGGGCATTATTCCACCTGACATTGGCCTCAAAATGCCTAATCTCCAACAAATTGGCATTGGTGGAAATGAATTCTCGGGGACAATCCAGCTTCATTTTCCAATGCTTCTCAGCTTCAAATACTTGACATCGCAGAAAACAATTTTGTGGGGCAAGTTCCAGCAAGTTTCGGAGATCTTCCAGATCTCTGCTGGCTCGGTCTGAGCAACAATAACCTAGGAAGTTATTCAGCTAATGACCTGTATTTTATAACATCCTTGACATATTGCAGCAACCTGGAAATACTTGATATGAGTTTGAACAACTTTGGAGGTGTTTTACCCAACTCAGTAGCCAATCTTTCAACCCAACTCACTATTCCTGCAGCATTAGAAAACCTCAACAATTTGATAGCCTGGGATGCAGGCTAACCTGTTCACTGGCATCATTCCTACTTTTTTTGGGAAGTTCGGACAGCTGCAAATGCTGGCTTTAGATGGAAATAGATTGTCAGGACAGATCCTTTCTATCCTTTCTTCCATAGGAAACCTCACTCAAATGTTTCAACTCTACTTATCAGAAAATAAATTAGAAGGAAGCATTCCCCCGAGCATCGGAAACTGCAAAAATTTGCAGTACATGGACATCTCGGACAATAGCCTCAGCGGAGATATAATTCACCGACTGGGAGTCTGCCCGTGGGGGTGGGTAAGCTAAAGAATGTCAATGTGCTCGACGTCTCTGGAAACAACCTAACTGGAGAAATTCCAAAAAGTATTGGAGACTGTCTGAGTCTTGAGTTTCTGCAAGGAAATCTCTTTCGAGGAATCATACCTTCTTCTTTGGCTTCTTTGAGTGGTCTTCAGCGTTTAGATCTTTCACTAAACAACTTATCAGGACAGATTCCAAAAGATCTACAGACACTTCCTTTCTTGCTGTCCTTGAAACCTGTCTTTCAATGATCAGGAGGGTGAGGTACCAAAAGAAGGCGCCTTTCAAAACAAGAGCATAATATCATTGGTTGGAAATACAAAGCTTTGTGGTGGTGTCTCGGAATTTCAGCTGCCAGCATGCCCCATCAAAGGATCAGAACCTAGAAAGTTCCTCGGTCCCAAACAAAAACTTATAATTGCTTTAGTGGTGGGATGTCCTATCCTGCTTTCCTTCTTGCTTGCACTTCACTGGAGGAGAAAACAGGAAAAGAAACCACCATCTGCAATCTCATCAATCAACATCCCTTCAAAGGTTTCGTATGAAATGCTTCATCGAGCTACCAGCGGATTCATTCCAAACGCTTTAATTGGATTAGGAAGTTTTGGTTCTGTATATAAAGGGATTCTTGAAAATGAAGAAAATGTAGTTGCTATAAAGGTCCTCAACCTTCAACAAAAAGGAGCTTCCAAGAGTTTCACGGCGGAATGCAATGCACTAAGAAATATCCGGCACAGGAATCTCGTTAAGATCTTAACATGTTGCTCCAGCACGGATTACAATGGCAACGAATTCAAAGCACTGGTTTTCGAATACATGTCAAATGGAAGTTTATAGCAGTGGCTGCACAGAGAAAACCAATCAAAGAGTTTGGGCCTTCACCAAAGATTGAACATTGCAGTTGATGTGGCTTCTGCATTGTACTATCTCCATGACCATTTTGAACAATCAATCATTCACTGTGACTTGAAGGCAAGCAACATTCTTCTTGACGACAACATGAATGCTCGTGTAGGTGATTTAGCAAGACTCATTTCAGCTACCGCGGACTCCTCTCTAAATCAAAGTAGCACAGTTGGAATAACGGGAACCATTGGCTATGCTGCTCCAGGTAAACTCTTCTAAAACTTCACAACTTCTCAGATTTCTACATAGTTGGACTATTTACTGAAGCGGTAGAAAAACCGGTAAAAGAAAACTAAAACCCTAAAATGAAATGGCTATCGGAGTGACCCTTAATCTACACCTATTGAAGAGAAAGCGCCTGCAGCAAAAGGAATGGAAACAAACTACATCAATGGCGAAACTGAGGCGGGAGAAGAAAACATAAACTACATGAACATAAGTGAAATGGATCCATTTGTGAGTAAGTGCATACTTCCAGTCCTCGAGATTGGGCTCGCGTGCTCGGAAGAATCACCAAAACGGAGAGTGAAAATGCAGGATGTCACCGGGGAGCTGCATCGTATACAAAATGCGTTGATCGGTGTAGAAATCCGTCGAGAGAGACCGAAAATCAGTAGCTAAATGATAGTTTACTTACGAATAAGCAGCTGTTAAGAAAATGTAAAATGTTAATTATAAGCGGAAGACAATTAAGCTGATGAATTTTGAGAATCAAATAAATATCTGAGTGTTCAATTTTGTGAAGTTATTCCTGCTATTAACGTCTTTCTTATCACGTGACTAGAGATATACTAACAAACATTACACATAAGTAGCCAGAAAAATATAATGATAAAAACACTAATGTGAGCTCTATCTCATTACACACAAGAATTTCATCCCGGCTAATAATTCAGACTATTCAGTCATGTTTCGCTTCCATTAGAACCCCAAAACAAAGAGTGCAAGAAATTAATAGTCATAAATACATGGACAGGTGGAGTAGCAAAAAGAAAGCCATATTCTATTTTTCTTCTTCTTTTCTTAATCACCAAGGAACAAATGATGCTTTTATAGGTGTGACATCATATGCATGGAAACATATTCAAGATCAGGACAAGGCTTACAACTACCGTATCCTTTTTTTGGGAGAGATTTTTTGTGTGCCGACCCACAAAAACACGGTTCAATACATAAAATATCATAATACAAATAATTAGATATTTCAATTGCTTATATTATGATATTTGTGTATCGAATCGTGTTTTTAAATTTCTCTTTTTTGAGCATGTAAACTTAATTATCATTAATTAATGGTACAATCTTACATCTAATAACCTAACAGTCCAATGTCATCATCAACTTATTCACCGTACTTATATTTTCCTAATTACCAAATTTCACAATATTTTATTTCCCCAAAAAGTAAAATATGGAAAAGAAAAAAAATCAATTAAAAATAGGAAAATATCCTAAATTATTGTCGTGTAACAGATAGATTTTTATTTATATATTTATTAACCTTTCCTTCCGTTACGCATTCTGCAAGAGACGAGATTCGGTTGAACGCTCTGAAAAAAACCCGAATTCGACCCGAACTCCGATGGCGAGCCTATGGCGGGCCGCGATGGGCCAGACGGTGCAACCCAACGACTACGACGGCATCGAGTTCTGGTCAAACCCCGAACGCACCGGTTGGTTGACTAAACAAGGCGAGTACATAAAGACGTGGCGTCGCCGGTGGTTCGTCCTCAAGCAAGGCAAGCTTTTCTGGTTCATGGACTCCGCCGTCAACCGCGGCTCCAGGCCACGTGGCGTGATCCCGGTGGCGTCGTGCCTCACAGTGAAGGGAGCCGAGGACGTCCTCAACAAGCAGTACGCGTTCGAGCTGTCGACGCGCTCCGAGACGATGTACTTCATCGCCGACTCGGAGAAGGAGAAGGAGGACTGGATCAACTCGATCGGACGGTCCATAGTGCAGCACTCGAGGTCCGTCACCGACTCCGAGGTCGTCGATTATGATAGCAAGAAGTGAGAGGGTGGAGTGGAGGGGGGCAATTTGGTCAGATTACTACTGTAGGTGAGTGCTGGTGGAGCTCCGCTCCTTGTATTTTTGTTCGTGCATAAATATTCAGTGAAACTCTGTTTTCTGTTTTTCTTCTGTAAAGGTATATCGTTTTGTGTTTTCGAATTCGCAGCAATTTAAAGTGTCTATTTGTTTGGTAACGATCAGATTTCGATTGAAATTGAATTGCTTTCCGTTTTTGGATTTTGGGTTTTTTGGTTTAGTTGTTAAATTAAGCTGCTTTATTACTAGGGTTTATCGGAATTTTATGATTTAGTTGGATTGAATGTTTAAAGTTGTTGAATTGGGGGTCAAATTGATCCGATTTGGGTTGTTTAATGTCCGTTGAGGTTCTTTGTACTGTTGTTACAAGTGGATTTGGGATCGGAGTTCAGGAGACAAACTTGCGTACACCTGGGATGCCACAGTGGCGGTGTGACAGTGATTGGCTTTGGCCGATTACTCTACCTCCCGGATTTAAGACGGAAATATTGGCTATGAAGCTGAAAAGTTGAATCCCAAGAAAGTTCCTGGTTTTGTTTCTGCAGTTTGTTTTGCACTGCATTCACCATAGTTGTGAATTATTTCTCGAGCTTAGTGCTCCCAGAAGTTCATCGTCATCCTTGAAGGCTATCCAAGCAGATTTGGCACGAGGCTTGGATAACCAAGCTGTGTGCACTCGAGAGTTGAGAACTATATTACATAGACAACTGGAAGGAACACACTCTCTCATTCCTTAACAAATGCTGCCTCCGCCAAGTCGATGGCACGAGCGAGACCGGCAGCTTTGTTCTGGCACTCTTGGTTTTCATCATCCGGGTCACTGTCAGCCACTATGCCGGCACCAGCTTGAAGATGAGCGACCCATTCCCTGCGCCGGTTGGCATCTTTGTAAGAGTACATTGTGTCAAAACGGGATCCTGTTGTAAACACCATGGTCCTCAGAGCTAGAGCAATGTCCATGTCACCTGTAAAGGAAACCCCTCCAAACCCACCGCTGTACGGGCCACGCCTTGTTACCTCCAGTTCATCAATTAACTCCATGGCCTTCACCTGAATCAGATCACAAACGACGATGAAATTGTGTTGAAGTTGAACTGCAAAAGGGAAGAAAGTAAATGCTAGCTGACAACCTTCGGTGCTCCACTAACAGTTCCGACGGGCAATGCAGCTCGCAGGGCATCCCAGCAAGTGAGATCATCACGCAGCTCTCCCGTAACCTGCAAGATGAATTGTGATGGCTTTTGTCACCGAAGATTCATTCCGTCACAAAGATTTTAAGTATTATCTCTAACTACGGAACATTTGGAAACCGTGAACTGACTCCAAACTCGATCAGACCGGAGATTCTCACCGTGGAGCTTATGTGCATTACGTGGGAATACCGTTCAACGTTCATCAATGTATCCACCTTCACAGAACCGTATTTGGAGACCTATATCAAACCACATCACCAGTACACGCTTATCGACTGAAACTCATAAGATCATCCAGCATGATGTGTTCTGCATATTAATGTCCACACTATTTGGTAATTGTTCAAGACAAACCTTTCCGACGTCGTTTCGACCCAGATCAACCAGCATGATGTGTTCTGCACATTGCTTTTCATCGTCAAGGAGCTGCAGTTCGAACTTTTTATCTTCCTCGACAGTCTTCCCTCTTCTAACGGTTCCAGCTAACGGCCGATTCACGATCTTTTTCTGTTTGTAACGTTATAAGTATCATCAAGTAAAAGTAGCTAATGATCTATTAATTAAATCTAAATTTTACGCACTTATATATGAACTCAAAGAAGTTAAGGAAAAGTTAGTACAGAAATTACTGGTCATATTTACCTTCTTCAGAGTCATAAGAATTTCTGGACTTGAAGCAACCAGGATGCACCCTCGAGCCTATGCACGCGAGAAAATATGGGATTAAGAATAAGGATATTTGAGTTAAAGTAGGAGTGATCGCAATTGAAGATAAGATGAGAGAAAATAGGTTAAGATAGTCTGGAGACATGAACCGAAAACCTACAGATACTTTGTTTAGAATATGCGGTTACGAGCCGGATGCCCAAGGTAAAAGAGGTAGAGGAAGATTTGGAAAAAAAATATAAGAAAAGATATGAAGTACTTAGAGTTAACATAAATCTTGGCGCAAAACCGAGCATACTGGTGTTCTAGGATTCTTAAAGCCTATCCTACTTAGAAACTGCAATCCTGATCACCAGAGTTTTGACCAACAAAAAAGGAACAGATATTGGCCATACCAAAAAAGGGTAACAAAACTCCAAGGAAAACACTCACAAACCTGCAAGTAAGTCAAATATGGGCTGGGATTTACAGTCCTCAAGGCTCTGTAAACTTCAAATGGGTCGGCAAACGTTCGACGTTCAAATCTCTGACTTAATACAATCTGGAAAATATCCCCTGCAAGTATATGTTCTTTTGCTTGCTTAACCTTGTCCTTGTAATCCTCACTTGTCATGCTTGAATTCTTTAGCGGAGGACCGAATTGGCGAGTATGTAGATTCATCGATCCTGGAGATAGCCTTGGGCTAACAACAGACAATCAAATCAATATGCGCTGAATGGAAATTTAAGCAAGTATAATAGTTACTCACAGGTCGACGTCGTGCACTCTAGCCACTAAATCCTCCAAACGTTTCACTCCGTCTGTATAAGCTTCCTCAACCGAGGAGTACCGTTCTAACCTCACCCAATGAATCACATAAACTCTCTGAGATGATAGATTAACAAAAGCTCGTAAGAACCTCAACCATAACCGAGTCAGAGTATTTTACTTCCCTTCCTTTTTGTTAAGAACAGAATGTGGGGAACCTTTCTGCATAACGCGGTCGTACGTGAAGAGAAAGCATATACTATATATACACACCAAAGTTATAACCTTGTACATTCAAGACGATTCACAGTTTGACGTGTGAGAAGATCGAAAGAAGAGTACCTTCTCCACATGATCAAACACTATGACCTCATCATAGAGCCCTAAATGTATGTCCGGAAGATTCCTGTCATCCTCGGGGGCCTTTGAGAACGGCAGTCTTCTTTTCTCCACATACCGAACTGTATCATACGTAAAATAACCTACCCAGCCACCTGTGCATAACGGCTTTATCAGAAAGTTATTTACTCAGTCTAAATTGACAACCAATGTACTTTCTGCAACGCATCCAATGTCAAATTAATCTGCGTACATTGTTCGCAGAAAAGGAAAACACAAACACACCAGAGAACCATGTTAGCTTGGGCATAGGAAATCTAGGAAACCAATTTGGAACTACAAGCACCATACAATCTAGCAGAAAACATCTTCGTCGCAGCGTACTTAGCAATATATTGTCATAAAAGAACGGAACCTGGAACTTCACTTCTCTTACCACAAAACGCATCAGGAAGGTCATCAATAAGTAGAGGACTAGGACACCAACCCTCCGAGATTCTTCTGGGAATAACCATTGGATCCTCGACGAACTCCTCAGTCATGCGCCCTTCTTCATGATCCATTATCGTCACCTTATTTTCTTTTGCCACGATTTCGATCGTTGGTTGAGCTCCAACAACGCTGAAGCGCCCCTAATACAATCAATGCAACACGAAATTACGATGTACAAAACTAATAGACCCGTCAATTCAAAACCAGCAAGTATCAAAGCATATTCAGCAGAGTTTGATTGAAACCTGCAAGTTTTGCTCCACTGATTCAAACAGAAAGCTTGGAGCCTCTCGATCGTCCTCGTTAACCAAGCATCGATATGCAAGAACCGGAGTGAGCTGGTCAGAGAAAATGCATTTGTAAAGAGGAACCAAATTTCCATTCTTTGAAGCTTCAAGAAACTTGCTTGCATCAGTAACTGAAAAATTAGAAGAAAAAAATCTAAACTTAAAAAACTTAAAAGTTTATGTTCTTGATGTTAAAAGAAAATATTTGAAAATAATAACATTAATCCATATGAATTGCACGTACAAAACAAGTAACATTGAATTACAAGTTCTAATCGCTAGAATTAAACCAAAATTAAGCACCAACTAACTGAGCTTAAATCAAATAATTTGCTTAAATGAGGTGATTATATGAAAACAGGACCACAAACGATCGAATACATGAAACTCAAACTTGTTATACTTCTTTCCTTTTTCCCGCATTTTCCCAGCAACCAAACAGTATACATAATGCCGAGAAAATGTTAAATTACCCAACGATTGATTCGAGAGAGCGCAGCATTTCGTTTTGGGGACGCGTGCAAGTGAGCTCGAGTTTCTACTCGAAATGCCGATGACCGGAACCCGAGACAGCCGGTGACTCGGCTGCACCAGGCGCTGGGAGAAGCAGAGGGCTAGCATTATCGAAAGGGAAACCGGAAATATGGACCGGCGCCGGTACTCACTCTGTGTTTCTGGCGGTGCTCTGGGGGTGTGCTCCCTGTGAAAATGGGGTGGTGGAACTATTGAAAACTGGACAAAGTTCCCAGAAATGTGTATGCATGTAACAATCTCTTATTCAATTTTTTTTTTAATTATTAGAATTTTTGGTAAAAGTTTAATGATAAATCTTTTCTCCTTAACGTTAGATTTTGTAGCTCAGATTTTTTGGGTAGGTAAGTAGAGCGATTAGGCCGCGTTTGTTCCTTGTAGGTAGGATTGGCTTAGTTATTGTCCTAATTCCTTATTTGACGCGGTTAAAAGCAGTTTAATGAGACTAAGTTGGACTCACCTTCGCTAAACATCTCACTACTAGTACCATGTGAAAGGTTGGGATTAGCAGTTCCATGTTCATCTTCCCCATAGTTTTTCTCCTTTCAGTGAGAACCCTCTCCATCATGAACATCTACTCGATGGCGAAGGGTTGCACCGTGACCAAGCTTTGCAAGATCTTGAGAGCCTCGCCATCCTCGTCATTTTTTAGCATCTGCTGCATAAGCGATTTTAAGGCATCGATGTTGAGAATGAGTCTCACATTGATGGGAGGAGAGACCTTGTATGGGCTTATAAGAAGTTACTCTCTATGTTGCCAATTGGTTTTATGGTGGAATCTCAACTTTCTTCATGGTATCAGAACAGGTCCCACGTGTGAAGCCAAACGGCCACACGCGCTCCACGTCATCCCGTTGTGTTGTCCACGTGTTAGGCTTGAAAATTCGAAACACGTGAGGAGCGTGTTGAGAATGAGTCCCACATTGATGGGAGGAGGGACCTTGCATGGGCTTATAAGAGGTTACTCCCTATATTGCCAATTGGTTTTATGGTGGAACCTCAACTTTCTTCAATCAATGACTTCTGAATTCGAACCCAGAAAGTCGAACAAGGGTGATGAGGATTGGTTGTTCTCGTCATCAATGACCTAGATTGTTGTGGGAGTTACCTGGGAGAAGGGTGTGGTGGTGGTTGCAGAAGCAGGAGGCTGTGATTTTGAAGGATTAGAGGGATTCGATCTGGGTTTCAAACGAGATCCAACATGTAGACAATCGAGTTTGGTTTTTATCTTCATCTTCTGAGTTTTTCATCTTGATCTTCCAATTTCGACAGGGATTCGATCTGGATTTCAAACGGGATTTGTTTTGCCGTGCATTCTAAAGCTCTCCATGTTCTAGAGTTGGATAGAGAAAAAGAGGAAGAGGAGATGGGAGGAAGAGAGGAAGAGGTTTCTAGAAAGGAAAAAAAAATAGAACTAATAATAAAGCGTTAAAAAGATATGGATTAAATAGTATAATATATAGTTTGTTAATTATCTTGTTTCTTAGTCCGACGCTACACCAAACGTTTCACTAAGTCAGTCAAGCTTAATCAATTCTAAGTCAATCCAGTTTAGTCTCTGAAACTAGTCCAGTCTGAAATAGTCCAATGCAACAAACTCTCCCTATATAAGCATAATGCAACATCTGAGTATTATACAGAAGAAGGAATATAATACAATTTATAATATTAGCTGTAGAGGTAAAGACCGTTCCTTGCAAAAATTTATTCAAAACTTTATAATTTTGGTCACATGTAAAATGCGTTTACAATGATACACACATACATTTGTAAGTGATAAGTTTTAAGTTTAATTCTCGACAAATGCAAATTTGAACTACATTATTGCTAGCTCATTGTAAGGCTTAGCCCACTCTCCCACCTCATAAGTGTAGATAATATCGTTTGTTAAAAAAAATATGAAACATTTTGTAATAGATTGTGCATTAAGTGCCAAGTGAGATTCATATTCCTAGGGTATCCAAGTCACTTCCAAATATTGTAGGAAGAATACCAAAAAGGAAGATATTTGCTAGGACATGGAAGAATCTTATCTAAGCAAATACTAAATAGGAGAAACCTTACCAAAGCAAACACAAATAATACTCTTATCATATTTTTCATACCATATTTGTATCATTTTTTTAATAGAAACGAGATTCACATGTGTTGGTAGACCATACTTCTATTACAGAGGTGGACAAATATGGTATAAAAAATATAATAAATGTAGCATTACTCGAAATAGTTTCTACAATTGCATCTAATAACACTCAATTTTTTTTTTACTAAAAATAAAGTAATGAGCTTAAATCGCACGGACGATGGTTTAATAAAAGCATAAAAAAATTTACTCTATTTGGAATCTTGAGTAATATTAGCCAAAAGAACAATCTTGAAATATAATCACTGAAATTGCCCTTGTCATATCTTTTATAGATTTGATTTTCGCATTTTTTTTTCTCTTGCATTTCTCTCTTTTGTTTTCGATCGTAAAATTGAGTAAATAAAAAAAAATCAAGAGATAAATACAAAAGTGGAAGGGTAGAAGAATGCAAAAATCAATTTTCTCTTTCGTTTTATCATATTTATTGATTTTTTTTGTAAAAGCAATCTTTATGAAGTAATTTATAATGTGAATTGTTCCAATTTTAAGTGTAGAGAGTTCTAAGAGCTTGCAAAGAATCACTTTTGAGAAAGAATTCAGTCTCACTATGATGTGGATATTGACGATTAGATTATTACTTAAATGTTGATTACGTGTTTATTATTTATTAGTGACATATTATTTAATTTATAAATTCATTTTAAAATTTTAATCTTCTTAACATTATCTTTCAAACGTAGATTTGCTTGTGGTCCCGTAGTATAGGCGTCATTCAGCACAACAATGAGAGTTTGGTAGTCAAGTGAAACTTTACGAGTGTTCACCCAAAAAAAAATAACTTTACGAGTTTCAGTGCCGACATCCGAAAAAGTGGAAACGTTTTTCAATCTCTTGAATGGCATGTTTTTTTATTTTGTCCACACCAGAAATACCATCCACACATTGGCACTGACAATTTGATGATCACTTTACCAGAATTTAGGCAGCGGTTTTTGAAGCACGATTGCAGTATTTTTTTTTCTTGATATTCACGGGTATGGACGGAGTCAATGAAGGCTCACTGAGGGCAGATGCCTTCACTCAAATAATTTGTTTGTTTAGTTGCAGACTACAATTATATAATATGTTATCTTTGAAGAAAACATATGTATCTAATATTCAACATACATTTATTCTACTTATACTCCATATCAAATATTATATGAGCAATAGTGCTCTTGTTCTATCATTCAAACTGAAAAAACCTTCTCCCGCCTATCATGTACTTTTATTTTTCTCATCACTTTGCCACTTTCCACTACTATATTGAAATTTTTGTAACATTGGAATTGTGATACATCATTATTTGAAACCATCATTAATATCATATTGCATATAATCATACTATAATAAGGTTTTCTTAGTTGTTTTTTGTTGCCCCCACTAGAAGAAATTTCTGACTCCGTCCCTCACGGGTTGCGAATAGATCTCTTTGGAAGTGCAACTTGCATACGAAACAAGTTCGCAGCGGTGAAGTCAAAATTTTTAGTTAGGACGGATCCAATTGTCTTGTTTGAAATGCTTTCTTGATCTTACAAAAATTATTGTGTCTTGTGGTGAGCAACCTACTAACTAACGTTGGTTGAGTCTAATATGATGTCGTCTTTATCATTCTCTTCCTTAAACCTAAACCTCATACCTCCCTGACTTCTTCCTCTCTCCCACCGAAGTCCTCCTCAGAACTCACAAGTAATGGATTGCCTAAACTCCATAAGAGCCATCAACCTCAAATCAAACCTAATGAAAAAAAATTAAAGCAAAAACGTCTGATTAATAAAAACATATAGGCTGATTGTTCTTCTCTCCGCACAACAAGCCATATTGAACCGGAATATCAGTTGACAGTAAATTTGTTCTATACTAGTCCTCCCTCTTTGATTATCCAATGTTGAACATGCATCATAAATAAGAGAACTAAAAAACAACTTCACTTTTATTAATAGCAACACATGGGCTGATTGTTATCCTTATGGTGAACAATCCATGCTATTGGACGACGTATGTATCTACTAGTATCTGATTCCAGTATGTATGCATGAGCCACTTCCCTCAGAAACTTGTCATGATTTCGTCTACGAAGGGAAAGGGGTATGGTAAGCATACTAGCAATCCCAAGAACAAAACTAACACGCCGAGGCCAACGTACTTGTCGTCAGGATCTGTGATCTCCTCGTAGAGTGGAGCAATCGGCCCTCTCTGTAAGATGAATATCAAAACTACCCAATAAAATGCAACGTCACTGACTAGGGATGATAATCCGAGCAGCGCGATTGAAGCACCCGTGATGCGAGTTGCAGCCTGTTGCATGGAACACGATTGATCAGTACAGATTTCTGACCTTCAAGCTGCAGGTTTAAGTCATGATGAACTTCGAATTGCATACCTTTCTTCCCCAAATGGCAAACGAAATTCTGCCCCCGTCAAGCTCTCCAGCCGGAATGCTGTTAATAGCGTTGATAACGAGTCCAGCCCACGCCCATAACAAGAGAGGGTTAAGAGATATGGGAGTGCCTTCCTTTAGCACGTCGCCGAGAAGAAGCTTTGCTGTAAGAGAAATGAATGTTACAGTCAACATATACACACAAAGTTTAAGCATGAACTACATTTCTAAAGTGAAGTGCTTACCAGTACCCCCAATAAGAAAAGACTCGTGAAAAACAGAAGCGTCGACAACAACGCCAATGCCATCGCTAGGTGGTAAGAAGAATCCTAAAAGCAGCAGGACAAATCCCAAGGAAAATCCAGCCAAGGGTCCTGCCGCCGCAACCTTCAGAAGATTTTCACGCTTGGGTACAATATTCACAATTCTTGTAATTGTACCAAAAGAGCCTATCTGCCAGCAAACAGTTCATCAAAATTTGTCTGTTTTAGCAGAAGAAAATCAAACTAAACCAGTATGCACACGTAGAAGCAAGAATGCCTGCCTCATGAGAAGCAAGACATAAGTTAGATTATAATTTCTGTACTTCTCCTACCAGTTCTTTCAACTCGTGACAAGATCGTAAAAAAACTAGTGACAAATAAAATTCACAACAACCAGCCTATATGGAAACTAAAGATACTGTTGTGCAGATATACACAGATAATTACTTAGTATATGTCCAGTCATCTTATAAAAATACGGGGGTTGGGGGCACTTTCTTCATATGAAATTCACCTGCCAACTGGGGATAAAGTATGGCACTCCAAGCACGACTCCAGTGCTATTTGCAACTAAAACATGGCCGAGTTCATGCACGCCCAGAACAGCTGCAGTTACAAGGGCTCCAGGTAAACCATTCTTCAACAGCTCAGGATTATCAAAAGCTGACCTGGGACATATTATCATGAGTGTGCATTATTATCTATCTATTTAATATAATGAATATACAAGAAAAGAAAATTACATACAGTAAATTGGACTGCAATTCAGGAACATTTCGAAGAAGTAGGGTAAACAATGTGACCAATCCAAAAGCACCAGCTGCAAACCACTCTGGGACGGCTGCAAGATTGACACCAAATCCATCATTGGAACAAATCATAAGCTTTAGAGATTGATTTCAGCCTACAACTTCCACAGAAATCCCGTAACAGGGCAGGAGCTAATTAGCTAAAGAATCACCAGTTGACTCTGGCTGTAATGTCCTTCGTGGAACTACAACTGCCACCGGTTGATCATCCTCAGGATTGACTAGGAGGAAAAGCTTATATTCATCCCCAAACTTATCCTACAAACAGATTGTGCAGATGTTAATAGGGAAGCAATCATAAGTTTATACTGTGAAACGAAGTATAGAAATAGATACCTGCAGTCTCTTTGATATCTTTTCGTAACTTATAGCAGGCACTCCTCGCAGGTTTCCTTTAAACAATACTCCACTCTGGCAGAGGTAACACAAAATCAGAGATTTTCAACCAGGCAGGCTAGAAAGCATATCTTACCATTCCAATGGTTTGCTACTATCTGTATTTTCTCAATTACTCTTTGAAGGATAGTTTTAAGTCCACAAATAAGCGTGCATAAATTCGTACGCTCCATTGGAATATTGAAAGGAACTTTATCCAAAACCCAACAACTGAGGTTATACACGCATTGCCATTCCCGTTGTTTTCTTCACTTCTTTCCAGTGGAGAAATTGACATAGACATGAAAAGTAAAATGAAATGCAATCAGTCAATTCACCTCATATGGAACCTGGCCTGTCACGAAAAAGGTATCAAAGCCGAAAACTTGGTTCTTAAGAATATCGAGTGTTTCCTTTGGAATCCGCATGGATTCACCCAGTTGCGGCTGTTCAAGAAATTATTAAGAAGAGCGTGTTAAAAAGAAGAGATGATATAAAAAAAGATGTCTTACACAAGAAACATCAAGGAACTTCATAATCACCTTCACACCTGGAAGAGGCGATCCACTTGAAACTTCTACATTTTCAACCTCCTGTCATAAACACAACCTCAGCACAATAAGTGTCAACAGAGCAATTTTGCAATACCCCTGTTAGAGGATTTGATATCTAATGGAAAAGTTGCCACGGAATTTCATACTGAACTCCAAGGGACAATATTTTCATGTATAACTAATGAATGGTTATTCATACTACTACCTCGATAATGAGAAACAACAAAGAAAACAATTTGTATCACTAAGTACATCACAAAACTCTGAAATGTAAGGGAAAATAATTTTTTTCAATTGACTGACATTACCTGGACCCCAAATTGAGCCTTAGTTTCGGCATCATTGTTTGCTTGGTCTGCAACTACCGGCTGCGAATCGTGATGGACGGCAGCATCAGAATCTCCACCTTCATTTCCATGTCCTTTTTCCTACCATATCAAAATGAATAAGAATTGAGAAAAAAAAATGTACAGAAATTAACATCAAAATTTAACGAAATTAGAACTTGAAATTGCACCTCATCGTTATTGCTATCCGGTTCTGTCTCCGTCTCACTCACTCTACAAACAACCTCTCGCTTCCTCAAAATTCTAAATTAACCACAATAATCAAATTCCAAACAGCAACAAGAACAATAATAATTTGGTAATAACTTGGTGAGATTTTACAGAGAAAACCTTACCTTGAAACCTGGAGCTTCAAGCTGCTTCTGCGACGGTGCCGTTTTCCCCATGAACCAGTTCCGGAAGCGAAACAGGGCTGAAAACGAAGATCGCAGCAAGAACTGCACTGCGATAAGGGAACAAAATTCCCTCGAAAAGTTGCCGAGAAGTTCATTTTAACTAGTAGGTAGTCGGCGAGAGGTTCTAATTCAGATGAAACCCTAGCGCCATTGAAGGTCGAGAGAAGCTTTTTGTGTGAAAGTTTGAGCTTTCGGAGTCTCAGTGAGGTGAGAGGGAGTCTTATCCGTTTAGAGAGAAAAGCTCCACGCAGAGAGGGAATATCTGTTTTCAGGTTCGTTTGGGTTAAATACGCGCGTAATTTGATATATATATATTTTTTTTTTATTTGTTGAAGTGTGAACCTTGGATTAATTACGATGAGACAATGTAGCCACTTTTACATAGGATTCAGTAATATAATTGTCCCCTAGGTTAGGACAATCTCTCTATTTCACCAGATATTTTTCAGTATGACAGAAACACAGTTCGATACAAGAAGTGTAATAATAAAATTGGTTGGAAACTAAAAAAAAAAAAACTTTTAAGCAATTATATGATGACACTTGATGTACTAAACCGAGTTCTTGAAAAATTTCTCCCATTCCACCTCTATTTCAAGCTTGAATTTTTATATTATGGTTATTTTTTAAACCACTTTAAAAATAACCAAAAGTACTTTTAGATTATCAAAAACATTTCTAACAATTTTTAGTAGAAAAAATCCCTGGCTTAAGGTGCTTAACCAACACTCTTAAATCTTAATTACATGGGTTATAAGTCCTTGTACAATCTCATCATTATGAAACCATTTTAATAATTATTTTCAAATTTAAGATTTTTCAAAATTATTATCCCTACGAAAAGAGAGTTTCGAACCGAAAGTAAAAACAACACCCAATCTCCATAATCCTCTTGAAAATCAGAGTAAAGCAAAAAGGCTGACTTTTAAGATGAAAAATCACCTGTCAGATTAGATTACTCGCATTAAAGAACCAACGAACTAAAGCCACCCACAAGCTTTCACCATCTTCTAAACACAAAAATTGGGTTCCAATGGCTTCCAAAATGTACATTTCTCCTCTGTAGTTGCACTGGTTTGCACAAAACTTCGACAAGATACGTACGACCGCCATAAAACAGATTTGAATGATCATACTATCAGTTTGTCGCCGAAAGGTTCGAAACCTGTGGTTTTCTATACAACACTCCTATTTCTACATATTACAAGCGTGACATGATTGGCAAGAGCTTCACATATCTTCAGGTCCCATGTCCCACCTCGACTTCCGCTTTTTCTTCTTATCTGGCCTAATAAGCAATTTAACCAACTCTGACAATGGAGACGATGCCACTTCCACAGGATATTCCTCGTCACTGCTACAGACCCAGCCGTAGTAAGGTCTAGACCTCCGGGGAGGGAGACTGTCTACTCGGAGACCATCCTTGGCATCTGCAAGACAAGTGACCATTTATAATGGTAGTGATGAATGGAAACTGTACATGACTAGATTTTTACGAATAATTAGAAGATAAGCTACCTGGCATTTTAATCATTGATGCCGGGATAGGTCCATTAGTATGTGATGCAGAGTCACAAGGATCCTCAGTCAGCAATGTGATGTTGACAGCCTCTGAGCAGGTAGATAAAATGGCAGTCCTTGCAGTTCCGGCCACTGATCCAGCATCTTGTGGAGCATTATCGCAAGTAGATAGAATGGCAGTGTTTGAGGGCACAGAAGCTAATGCATCGTCTAGTGGTGCAGCATCGTCTAGCGGAGAAGCATCTTCTAGTAAAGCAACATCTTCTAGCGGAGCAGCATCATCTTGCATAGCAACATCTTCTTGCATACCAGCGCCTTCTTGCATACCAGTGTCTTCTTGCATAGCGGCATCGTCTTGTGGTGCATTATTGTCTTGTGAGGCAGCATCCTTTTAAAGTGAAAAAGAAAACAATGTATGCTCAACGCTACCAACAGTAATTAAAATTGAAAGGTTCAGACTAGAATTCTGACTAATTTTGTACAATTAAGTAACAAAGGTCAAGGTGAGAACCAACATCACGAATGCACACAATGCAGTTCTATCACACAGAAATGCAGGGCAATTTAATGTACAATCCTACTTTAGAGAAGTTGGAATAGCAGGATATTGTGACGCCTAGTAGTGAGCCAATCTTGGTCATGATAACAGCTACTAGAAACACAATGCAGCACACTGCAAACCAATGACGATAGCTTTCTTTTCGCAACAAAAATTAGCAATCTCAATCAGTCTTATGGTCATTTTCACAATTTTATAATCAAATATTCACAAACATAATCAAGCACCATGGAAATTTAGCCAACGACAGTCTTCAGGTTACCATGACCCTAGACAGACCCAACAAGCTGCACCTTCTGGTACTACACAGATCCACTGTCATCCATGTGACACAGTTGGACATTCTGCTCTGGATTACCCACACCAAGCCAAGTTATCTTATCAAGGCAAGGAACCTTCTCCATCACCGACTTTCATGGCTCCAGCCTATGGTCATCAGTTTCCATAGTTAATTTTGTCTCACCGACAGGGGAGCAACAAATCATATCACAGCTAATTCGCTAACACCTGTCATGGCCAAGATCCAATTAAAACAGGTAATAGTTCTTGTCCCTCTATTAGACACATTGGCTCTTTCACTTTAACTGCCAAAAACCAAACCTTTAACTTGTCTAATATACTTCCTGACATCACCGCATATTTTATCTTTGTAAATCAGTTTTGTCAAGATAACCATTGCCGCTTTATCTCTGATGCTCATTCTTTCCAAGCCATCTACTATTCCTTTTGCTGAAATTCATAGTGATGCATGGTCATCGGTGTTATGTGCCTTTTGTGGATAACAGTACCTGGTTGTTCCCATGAGATAAAACTGATGCATTTTCAGCTTACGTGAATAATTCATTTTCTTCCTCAACTAAAGTGTTTCACTTTGATGGCAGTGGAGAGTTTGTAACTCATGCTTTCAGCAATTTCTCTCTTCCCATGATATTTTACGCCACAAATCTTCCCCTCATACACCACTCTCTGCAGATTCTCTCCCTTCTAAATTTGGGTTTTATGCATGTGCCACTTAAACTTCTCTCATTACTGGACTGATAATACCCCGACTTAGAAACAAACATGCTTCGTTCTTACGCTAAACTAACAAAAAGGATACAGATTTTCTGGGCATCACACAACATAATTACAAAGGGCCAGAGAGAATTAGAGCACAATGTACCAAAAAGGGAAGCAAGTTCAGCACACAAAAACAACAAGCAATCAACTTACCCTTTTTTCAGCAGCCTCATGGGCTTCTACTTTCTCAAGAAGTTGCTCAACCAATAGCGTATAAGAACCCTCTTCGATAAATCGCCATGGATTCTCTGTCCTATTATCTCCCTTATAAACCTGAAAGCAAAACCCTTTTCACATTTCAAACAAAACCCAAACCCTAATGCGATTTCCTCTCAGAAAATACTGAAAACACAATCAGAAGACTAAAATTTAAACCCACCTTCAGTAGGTCATTCACCGTAGCACGAACAAGTTTCTCGTCAAAACCCATTTCACGCGTCGCATCAATGGCTGCATCCATTCGAGTATCCTTCTGCAAATACCAAGTGAAAGTGCCCAAATGTCAGAAAATACGCGCGAGAAAGTGCGGGAAAAGGCGAGAAACTGTTGAGAAAATGAAAGAAAGGTAGAACCTTTCTGCCTCGTGCTCGTGGAGCCATCGTTGGAGCTCCGTCGTGCCACAATCTGAAGGCCCAAATCTGCTGCTGTGTTGATTTTACTCGAAATGGTAAAAAAAGGAAGGAACTTGAGGGGCTGTGAGCTGGGTGAGTGTTTAGAGTTCGAAAATTGCAGGTGGAAGGTTGGTTGTTTTGAAAAGTTTAAGAGCTTTTGGGGGTGTTTGTCTTTAATATTTTCACAACTTGGGCCAGACTTGTTTTGTGTTGGATTTCATTGTAAACTTGAATTGAAAAATATTAAATTGAAATAAATTGAATTTAAAGTTATGTGAATTATAGCTTATTATTCACCTTATTTATAGCAAAAAATAAATTCAAATCCAACGGCTAGTTGACGTCAGCTACCAACGACTAGCTGACGTCACTTAGTCGTTGGATTTGAATTTAAGTTGTAATTTTTAAATAATAAATTATGTTTGACCTTATGACTCTTTGGGCTTCGGTTGGAGACGGGTTTTTATGACAAGGCTAAAACGAGCCTTATGGCCCTTTGACTCTTGGTTGGAGATGGAAACAAATATGACATTGTACTGTTAATTAAAATATTAATATTTTAGAGGATCAAAAGACTAAAACGAGCCATTTGACCAACCATGAAGATAGCCTAACAAGTTGTGTTGGAGAATCAAAACAAAAACCCAAACTGAAAACGCAATGTCTGATCCTTAGAATCTTTGAGTGTCGTCACACCGGTAAGCAAACAACTTATTGGAGAAGCAAAAGCAGAAGAAGCTTTCATCACTCTCCAGTTAATTTCATCACTTTCTAGTTAACACAACAGGTTGATTGATTTCTACAGATACTGATCACTGCAAAGATTGAGACTTCTCCAATGGAATCCATGGCGGAAGCAGACCCAGAACCACCATCGCCACCATTATTCGACCTTATCCTCTCCCTAAAACAAGCAACCCTCATGGCCAAACAGCTACCTTGCACCGCTGACCCCACCCACATTCTCCACATCTACTCCTCCCTCCACCAAGCCCACTACCACCTCTCCAATTTTCTCTTCACACCCAAATTCCCCCAGCCCCAGTGGCAGAACTCCCTCTCCTCCGCCAACGGCAACGAGCCCATGCAAGTCGGCAACTGCGACGATGACTGTGATGGCTTTGGAGAGAAATTATGGGCCCACAATTGACATGGTTGAGGAGCAGATGAGCGATTGCTTCATCAAGAACAAGCGGCCCAAAAGCCGGCTTTCTCCTTCTGCGGCCGCCCTGGCGGAGGAGAGGCGGCTTAACAAAGATGGGTTTGTGGGCAGTGTGAAGGGTTTTGACCCTCAGGGCTCAAATGAGAGGGCTTTTGGAGCTTGTGTACCAGTTTCATGGGTGAGTTGGGTGGAAACAGAGCAAAAATAGAGTTATGTTGCATTTTGCACTACGATGAATGCGATGAATCCGACAATTCGCAAGGACATGAATACAATGAGTTTTTTTGTTGTATTGTTTTTTCTAATTTATGGTTTTGTTTATGTCATGGAATGGAAATGTATGACATTGTAGGTTTGATGATTATGGATTTTCGTCGATTTATAGAAACATTGTTAGTAGTAATATGTTGAATGAGAAAATTGTTCTTGTTCATATTTGTGCACAAAATTTAAATGGGGGCAACCTTCTTGCGGGTCTTGTAACAAACACGTCGACAAGAGTGATAATATTTTTTGTCAACTTCATAATATTACAACATTATGCATTGCAAACCATAATTATTAGTCAAATAAACTGCTTGAAACAAGTTCGCGAACGATTTCTTCTATTTCTAGGAACAGTATTTGGAAATTTTCCAACTTGTTGTATATATTGTTGTGTTCATGATTGAGTGAAATATGCTTCAAGCCTGCAGCTCATGTGCTAGAGAAGGCTTGCTATCTATATTGTTATAATTTAAACTCAAACTATGCAAACGAGATCATCCCTGGATAGCTCTTCTGGTCTTGACTGCCAACCAATCGCAACAATAAATTAGCAGAACATACTTGAGTCTTGACCAACATTTCCCCAAGCATTTTCAATCATCATCGGAGTGCATTTGTGCTGAACTACAACATCTTGGATATCCGATTAAGTGCAGAATGAATTGTGTCAATACCTTAATCCCTAATTGATCATGCTATATATCATCTACACATGGGAAATAATCCAAATGATAACTCATGTATTGTTGGAGAATTACTCAAACCTTAGTCCTTACTACTGTGTGCTAGATACCTGATAAGGTTGAGACTGCAATAGTTCTTCCCCTTGTTTCGTGTATGTTTGTACCCTACTTGACAAATCCCGAAACTACTGAGCACTAGTTAACGTTATATCGTCAAGAACCCAGAAGAGTTTCCCTCCAACCATGAAGGCCAATTATAATGTGACATGTGTCGACATCAGAAGCCAATTACAGTGTGACAAGTGACCGATCGCTTGAGAGGGCCAGGCCTGGGCTGGTTCTAGTCAGGTATCTCGGCCTGACATTCGACCTTCAACTTGTTACTTCCTCAATGAGCTGTAGGACAAGGGGGTCCTGAGTGGAGTCATGTACCACTGGAATTTTCTTTCATAAGTCTCATTGCCTCTTGGAAGTAGGAAAGTTTAAGCAAGGGCATGTGGTTTTTCCTTGGACTTGTCGTACTGACTTCTAGGGCAAGTCTGTCGGAATACCTCAGAGTCTCATGTACCTTGATGTTCCCCTAGGACCTGTCGTTCCTTCCCTAGATTGGCAGTTGGCCTGGGTTGTGGGAGGGGACCGAGTCTTTTTGAAACCCTTAGGTCATTGATCTTCGAGCATATGTGGAGGGGATTCTCTCGACGTTGTTTTAAGAAGTCTCGGCAGTCACGATAAACGGCTTTCGATCTTTCCAACCCTTCTGCAAGGAGGTGTTTTCCTCCACTACTCCTGCTTTGGGTCGAAGCAGCTGGGTTGAGAGAAGTCTCATGTTGATCAATGTTTGTCTCTCAACATTTGAGGAACTGAGAAACTGAGAAAACTGTTTGTCTCTCAACACATCTTCCAGACCGATCGCTTGTAATATGAAGATGACTTGTACACTATTCGCCAGAAGCCGGACGAGTCACTACGAGAGTATGACGGTCACTTCAGCCATGCGTATTCTCGCTGCATTCTGAGGCAGATGACAAGACCACCCTCAAGGCCTTCACGGCATGCCTACGTGATTGTTTCTTTAAGTACATGATCAATGCCAACACTTGGAAGACTACTCTGAGGTGATGACACATGCTTACAACCATGCCTTCGCCGAGGCAAGGACATATCAAGGGAAACCCTCCATAGCCACCCCTTATCAGCAAGTAGGGAGTGGAAGCCAGATCCAACCAAATGCGAAGACCTTGACCTTCCAAACGGCAGTGGTGCCTCCCCCTGCCTTACTTAATACTTTGCCAAGTCAACAGACATATCAATCTCAGGGAAAAAGGAAAGATTTCCATTCTCACTAGTCTCATTTTAGTAAAAGGAGTAAGAGACACTACCGCGATAACCAAGGGTATTGCCACAATAATCCCTGACCCCAGGCAGTCAACACAGTGGGTCAAGCACGTGTCAGGACAGCCCCTACCCCGAGTTATGAGGCATACACACCTTTGAACACCACATGCGTGTCCATTTACCCCAGCATAGCACACCTGATACCGAAGCCAAAGCCGAGGCACCCGGATTACAAGCCCACGAAGAACACGGGCACGTTTTGCTACTACCACGAGCATAACGGCCATGACGGCGAGAAGTGTATCACCCTTCGTGATCATATTGAAGCTTTGGCACGTGAAGGAAAAATTGATCAATTCCTCTTTCACCCTCCAAAGGGTAACCGTAACCAACACCAGGTGAATGTGATATTTTACCATCAAATTGTTTTCTATCTTTTTTGCCTATGAATCTTGAGTTTGGAAATCGAACAATCATCGAAGAGAAGCCTTTAGTGAGGAAATTGGGGGTTAAGTGTGGAGATTGCTTCAGCTTAAACTTAACAAAAGCAGCATCAACCTCCACCAGAAGAAAAAAATTCAGCTTAATCTCTAATGCTACTGGTTCATCAATAATTATTAAAGTTTTGACTGAATTGTTATGTGATGTTGTCAGCCCATTCAAACAAAAGAATTGTTAGACTTTCTTCCCTTGTTTTAACTTAATTGAATTCCTCTCTTTTCTGTTACTTATAAAGTTATAAGAAACAAAAAACATACACAATGGTAATTCTCCTTGTTTCCCCCTCTCTTCATAAAAGTTTCAAGGCTTCTTTCATATCTTTTGGGGGCATCAGTACAACCGATAAGCGTATATCCTATTTCCTCAAACAAGGTAACCATCCCAGCCTTACTGTATCTATCACCGTCTTCCTTTGACTAATATGTGTACACACACTACTCTTGTTACAGTTATATTATTAGTATGATTATTTATGTAAAGAATAGTCTTGCATATAGGCTTTTCTTCAGGTCGTCTCTGCTAAAGCACTTGAAACTATTTTCTAATCTGATGCGGCAGTATCAAGTAAGATTAAGGTAGGGAAGTAGTTTTCTAGTAATAAGGTCATTGTAAAGTTTGTGTATGCTAAGCCAGGTTACCATTTATAAACTTGTGTCTTTTAGTTTTGTATTTTGCACTGAAGAAAGAAAGTTTAGTGCCCAGAGCATATGTAGCCAGACCGGACGTAAAGGGGCAAGGTCTCTCGGTGCCAGGCACCATGTAGTTATTTGCTAACTTCAACTATAACGGATTTTTGTATTCTTTGGCCTTTCAAAAAATTTCATCATGTAGAACAAGTGTTTGGTTGAAAGATTAATTATATTTCTCATTTTTCATATTGTTTCGCCTTGCAGTCAAGGTATGCAATTCAAGCCTTTCGAATTAGAAATTAACACGTGGAATAGTTGTGCCCCAGTTGATGAACTACAGGCTCAAGGGTTTTCTACCCCTACTGATTGAGGAAGGTGAGTAAAACTTTGTTTCTCAGTGTTATATTGTTCTTGTTGTTTGCATCGGCAAAACTAATCAGATTCTTTCTGACTATAAATTTTTATGGGTTACTATTGTTTAGTCTTGCATCATCAATAAAGTATGTTTTCTTATTAAATTATGAATAGGGTGTTTGATATAGTATTCTTCATCATAACAGAAACTTCAAAGACACAAAAACATAATCTTGAATTCTGTTT